CATTCATTTCTATACAGTTGCATTCAGTGTTCCCAGGGTTGCATTCTGAAAGGGTATTTTCTAGCACACAGGGGTCACATGACCCCAGCTGAGGCTCTATTATCTCAAAATCCAAGCAATTATTCAAATTTTGATTGCACTGTATAGTTATATAGTAAACTTTTGCATAAAGTTATATATCCAACTTTTGCATAAAGACTGCAGCTGAAGCCAGTGAAATGAGTGTGGTTAAAACTGTGTGAATAAAGGCAAACGAGAAGCTGTATCTCATGTGAAACACTCAAGAGTTTCAGTTGTAATCAAAACTAAAAAGAATCACCAAAATAGAAAATGGCTGTTAAAACAACAAAAAAAGCTTTCATGATTGCAGGTAGCACTTTTCAAATACAGTGGCCAGGCCAAAGGAAGAGTTCCTCCATGCTATGGTCAGCCATGCTTTGAGCATCCCATTCCTCTAAAAAGAGCAATGACAAACTATGACCTGAAAGGGTTTAGTGTTATGCCACTAGAAGACTGGCAGAAGGGACTGGGGATAAGCAGCCAGGCGGGGCAGAGAGACAGGTCTGTATGACTAGGCCAGGATTAGGACTTATGGATAGAGGTTCCAATGAGGCAGACTTCAGCTTAATATAAAGAAGTGATTTCTAATACTAGTGTTGTGCAGCGGTTTTCACTGTCCAATCAAGACTGTCAGCATCAGAAGTGTGTGTTCCACTGGTGACTGATGGGCATCTAGCAAACAGTGAGCTGGGGTAGATGACTTTGCAATTTTAATATGCCGTGATTAAACAATATTTGCTTTAAATCCGAATCATGGGATCCTAGAAGTATCCTCTTTTAATAAAATCTTACAGAATTTTGAATTGGGTAAGTTATTTGTATTTTGGCCAACAGTACATTTCATAATATAAGAGCTAGTGCTTTGGAATATTCAGTTACATAGTATTATTATAGTTTCATTGTGTTTTAATGGACAAAAGGCTATTTTCAAGTTCTTTTTGACAATGTTAAACTTTACCAGAGTCCTGTGCTCTGGAATACAGCCAGAGTTAAAGAAATTTTATTTCTGTAAGTGTGGTAGTAATTGCTCTGCCAACATTTGTGTTCCAAGAAATGACTCAGTACAAAAGAACCATGGTTCCCCACATGATTTAGGTAAGACTCAAAGATGCCCCGCTTTTGTTCACCTATAACAAAATCAGATACAGAACCCTCAGGCAAATTCCCATTCTTTGCTTTAAAAATGATTAGCTGAACTGTTTGTACCCACTGACCAATCTAGCCAAAATAATAAGCTTCCTTCCCATCTGAACTTTGACCAACCCTCAACTTGAAGCAGCATTTCAGCCCCTTCTTAGCCTCTCCTAAGAGTAACAAAAATAAAAGTTAAAATTAATGAAATAGAGAATAGAAAAAAAAAATCAAGAAAAACCACTGAAACCAAAAGTTAGTCCTTTAAAAAGATCGGCAAACGTCATAAACTTTTAGCTAGACTAAGAAATAAAGAGAAGGCTTAAATTATTAAAATGAGGGATGAAGGGGGAGCTTTACTACCAACCTTACAGAAATAAAAAGAACTATACAAGAACACTAGGATCAACTGTATGCCAACAAATTAAATAACAGATGAAATGGGCAAATTCCTAGAGAGACACAAACTATCAAAACTGACTCAAGAAGAAATAGAAAATCTAAATAGACCTATACAAAGTAAAGAGATTTAATTAATAATTTAAACACTTCCCACAAAGAAAAGTCCAAGCCAAGATGGCTTCACTGGTGAGTTCTACCAAACATTTAAATAATTGGTACCAATTCTTCACAAACTCTTCCAAAATCAAGGAGGAGGGAACACTTTCAACTCATCTTATGTGATTATTATTTCCCTGATACCAAAAACAGACAAAGATATAAAAAGAAACTACAGACTGATATGTCTTATGAATACATATATAAAAATCCCCAACAAAAAAACTAGCAAACTGAATCCAGCAGCACATAAAAAGGATTCTACACTATGACCAAGTGGGATTTTCCTGGGATACAAAGTTGGTTTAACATCCCAAAATTAGTGTAATATACCATATCAATGCAGTAAAGGACAAAACTACATGATCATCTCAGTAGATCAAATAAGACTGGGTGCATTCCAGGGTGGTATGACCACAGACAATCACCTCAATAGACAGGCAAAGCATTTGACACAATTCAGTGTCCCTTCATGATAAAAACACGCAAGAAACTAGGAACAAAAGGGAACTTTCTCATCTGGATAAAGGGCTTCAAAGAAAATCCCACAACTAACATCATAGTTAATGGTGAAAGTTGTTTTTTTTTTAATCTTTTATTTTAGTGACAGAGTCTCACTCTGTCACCCAGGTTGGAGTACAGTGTCATGATCATAGCTCACTGCAGCCTGGAACTCTTAGGCTCTAGCAATCCTCCTGCCTCAGCCTCCTGAGTAGCTAGGACTTTACACCATGCCTGGATAAGTTTTTTAAATTTTTGTAGAGACAGGGTCTTGTTATATTGTCCAGACTGGTCTCAAATTCCTGGATTCATGTGATTCTTCTGCCTCAGCCTCCCCAAGTGCCCAGCCAGCATGCCCAGCGATGGTGAAAGATTTAATGCTTTCTTTCTAATATCAGGAACAAGATAAGGAGGTTCACTGTTTCCACTTAGAGGTTTTAGCCAGGGCATTAAGGCAAGAAAATGAAATAAAAGGCATCTAGATTTAAAAGAAAAAACTAAATGCATCTCTATTTGCAGATGATACAATCTCTTACACAAAAAATCCTAAGGAATCCACTAAACACCTACTGGAACTAACCAACAAGTTCAACAAAGTTGGAAGACAGAAGATCAGTCTATAGAAGTCAATATATTTCTACATAGTAGCAGTGAAAAAAAAAACAAAAATAAATTAAGAAAACAATTCCATTTATGATAGGATCCAAAAGAATAAAATATGTTGGAATAAATTCAATAAAAAAGCATTGCAAATTCAATGAAAAAAATTTAAAACTTACACTCTGAAAACTACAAAGAAATTAAAGACCTAATGAATGGAAAGATATCTCATGTTCATGAATCATAAAACTTAATATTGTTAAAATGGCATTACTCCCCCAGATCTACAGATTTAACACAACCCTCATCAAAATCTCATCTGGCCTCTTTGCAGAAACTGATAAGTGGATCCTAAAATGCATATGAAATGAAAGGAACCCAGAACAGCCAAAACAATCTTGAAAAAAGAACAAAGTTGGAGAACTCACACTTCTTGATTTCAAAACTTACTCCAAAGCTACAGTAATGGCATAAGAACAGATATATAGATCAATGGACTAGAATTGAGGATCCTTTTAAAAAAAATCACTTTTATAGTCAATCAATTTTTAACAAGATAATACAATGAGGAAAGAATAATCTCTTCAAGAAATGGAGTTGGAACAACTAAATATCCATATGGAAAAGAATGGAGTGGAACCCCTACCTCACACCAAATAGAAAAATTAACCTAAACTTAATCAAAAATCTAAAGATAAAAGCTAAACCTATTAAACTCTTAGAAGAAAAAAGTACTAGTAAATCTCCATGACTTTGAATAGGCAATGTTTTCTTGGATGTAACACCAAAAGCACAAGCAACAACAAAAACAGATATACTAAACATCATCAGAATTAAAAATCTGTGCTTCAGAGTATACTATCAAGAAAGTAAAAATAAAATCCATAAATTGGGGGAAAAATTTTGCAAATCATGTTTCTGCTAATGGACTTATTCACTGAATATACAAAGAACTCCTACATTTCAATAATAAAAAGAAAAATGCTTTAAAAATACGCAAAATATCTTAATAGACACAAATGAAAGATGTTCAACATCATTAGCCTTAAGAAAAATACTGCAAATCAAAACCACAATGCAATATCATTTCACACCTTAATCAAGAAATCTGATACTAACAAATGCTGGCAAGAAGAGGAAGACACTGGAATCCTCATACACTGCTAGTGAGAATATAAATTGATGCAGCTGATTTGGAAAACCATCTGGCAGCTCCTCAAAAGGTTAAACCTAGAGTTACCATATGACCCAGCAAATCTACTCCTACTTACATACCAAAGGAAATGAAAGCATATGTCCATACAAAAACTTGTACCATGGATGTTCATAGCAGCATTAATCATAACTGCCAAATAGTGGAAACAATCCAAATGTCCATCAACTGATGAATGGACAGATTCAGTGTGCTATGTCCATACAATGGGATATTATTTGTCAACAGAAAGAGATGAAGCACTGATATACTACTGCTATTAACATGGATGAAGTATGAAAACATTATCTGGTCAAAGAAGTCAAAGGACCACATGTCCAGAATAGGTAACTCCCATTACTAAGTAGTGAGACTAAGTAGATTAGTGGTTACCTAGGGCTGGGGGAGGTCAGGAGATTATGGCTAAGGGGTGTAGGGTTTCTTTCGGAGGTTTGAAAATGTTCTAAAAGTGATTGTGATGATGGTTGCATACCTCTGTGAATATATTAAAAGCCACTGAAGTGTATATTTTAAATGGGTGAATTGTATGTGAATTATCTCAATAAAGATATTTAAAAAACACTGGGATAACAAATACATATTTCCTCTTAACTTTTTTTACCATTTAACAACAAATAAAATTTAAAAATCAAATTACTCTCAGAGAAAAAAATTTTTCCAAAGTGGAATATACTCAAAACAATGTGCTCCCAACCCAGAAGGCATCTCCAGGAGAAAGTCCCATGTGTGCTGGACACAGGCAGCAGTGACTGAGTCAGCAGCAGCTTTGTAAAATGACCCCTTTGAAGAAAGTACCATGTCCTGGAATGTGTATCAGTACCATCAACAGATGTGATTACAGTTTATCTTTGCCACAGCTTCAACACATTGGCAAAGATGACCCACAATGATCATGAAAGTTACTAACGCATTAATTTGTCCTAGGAACAAATTAAAATAATTTTTAAAGTACATAATTTTATAAAAAATACATATATAAAAAACATCTTTTCTCTTCATTCATGCCCAGAGCTATCAGTTCTCATGATGACAGATGCTGAAATTGTTCAGGTCTTCTTTGATCAAATGGATTTAAAATATCTGCTAACACAAACACCTTAAAGTAAAACTCCAGTTACAGGCATCATCTTTTCTCTTGATATTTTAAAGCTACAATGTTCATTTTGTCTTGAACAGAAAAAAAAACAGATGATTATTTTGAGCAATCTGAAATAAGATTACGTTTCTTCATGATTTGTGGGTTTGAAAAGTTGCCTGGGGGCTAAATTATTTAGTCTCAAATTCTGAAGTACGGATGACACTTGTGGAGATTCTTCCACCTGTAAGAACAATAAAAATATAGTTAATTTTGTAAAAATGTAGTCTACCCTTATATACTTCTATTCCCTCTGCTTCTGAAAAGGAAACAATGCATTTTCCCCAACCTTTGAAAGACTTGAGCAACCAGAGCAGTTGGCTATCAGCTCCTTGTAGGATCAGATCTGCTTTTACTCTCTGCAGCACCCAGATCTAGGTATGGCATGCAGAAGTGACTACTGAATGAGTCCATGTGTCTAACTTCTAAAGGTATGGACAGGGCCCACTATGGAATTTGGCAGCCCATTAAAAAATTAAAATGCTATCCCCTTGTACAAAAATTAAGAATTTCAAGATGGCAACTGAAGAACATAAGAATGTGTGGGGCCCTTCTAAGCACAGAGTCTCAGATGACTGCCCAGCTTGCGTGCCCATGAAGCCAGTTCTGGATGTGGTAAGATGAAATACTGCAATGTCTCCATCACGTTCTTCATAATATTTTAGTGATTCCCAAGCACAGTGAGCAAGTATGATCATGATAAAGTTAGTATTTGCAGAACTGGATGCTGATTTGGCTCCTGTGCAGCTATGTGAACGTGAAGGGCAGGTATGGGGGCAGCACTTGTCACTGAATTCCACCTTCTAGAAAGAATAAGTCTCAATGCACCCAGAAGTCTAGAATTAGGGAAACACACAAGTCCCTCATTTACCAATCCTCAAGCTGCAAACTCTTAGTTTCCTTATTTCTAGGGATTCTTGTAGATGGCACACACTTTTGGCAAACCTTATAAGAAAACTTATCCTCTTCAGTTAGAGAACTATGTGTGGCCAGGTTCAGTGGCTCACGCCTGTAATCCTAGCACTTTGGGAAGCCAAGGCGGGCAGATTGCTCAAGGTCAGGAGTTCAAAACCAGCCTGAGCAAGAGCGAGACCCCGTCTCTACTATAAATAGAAACAAATTAATTGGCCAACTAATATATATAGAAAAAAATAGCAGGGCATGGTGATGCATGCCTATAGTCCCAGCTACTCAGGAGGCTGAGGCAGAAGGATTGTTTGAGCCCAGGAGTCTGAGACATGCATGTAGTCCCAGCGTCCCAGCTACTCAGGAGGCTGAGGCAGAAGGATTGCTTGAGCCCAGGAGTTTGAGGTTGCTGTGAGCTAGGCTGACGCCATGGCACTCACTCTAGCCTGGGCAACAAAGTGAGACTCTGTCTCAAAAAAAAAAAAGAAAGAACTCTGTGCAGCTGGCACTGGGCAGTGACATCAGCCCCGCTATCACTCTGTGTTCACAGAATTGCAGTACTGGCCTTGGCCAGAGTGTAAAAGCTTTGGCAGGCTCAGAACCAAGGATAGAGAAAGCTGCCATTCTCTTTGTGACATCGCATAAACCACAGTCCCCTATCCCACGTTGGTGCTAAGGAACGTAAGGCAAGAAACTTAGAAAAAGGGTCTTTCTTTGGAATTCCCTCTTTTTTCTGCTCAGGTTAAAAGCCTTATTCCAGGGCCTCTGCAAGAGAAAATAAGTTTACTTTCAGAAAAAGATGTTTTACTGACATGGAAATTCCATTTCAAACAGTTGATGTGGGATAGAGAATAAAGCTTAGACTCAGCAGTGACTCTACTACTGCGGGGATGGGCAGGTAGAAAAACTTTTTTTCCCACTATGTTCACTTTTATCACTTTTCCCACAAAACCTGTGCCTTGGCCTCTTTTCCCAATCCTGGGTGACGACACTTGGAGCCAAGCCAGAAGCCAAAGAGGCATCCTCTGGCCCAACTCTACCCGCACATAACCAAGCACTAAGTCCCATCTTCTCTACCCCTCAGCACCTCTTCTCCATGCCTGTCGCCACTACCTAATGTTAGAGCCTGATCATATTATCCAGGCTATTGAAATAATCTTTTTGCTGGGAACTCATCCCCTAACCTCTCTGAATTTCTTGTTCTCCATTGGCCTATTCCAGCCACACACGAAGATGCCTTAATGTACCCATCCAAAGGAAATAAATCAATAAATCTTTCCCTGACCACAAGTCCTCCATCCAGATACAACCCGATCTTTCTGCTGCTTTCCATAGCAACCCTCTTCCAAAACTCCTCCCCTGCTTCCTCCACCTATTCACCCCCCATTCTCTTACCAGCCCACCCTGACCAGGCTTTTGTCCTCCCCACATAACCCTGGTTTCCCCTCTGTCTCACTCACACTCTTCTGTAGTCTCCTTTCCTCATTTCTCCTCCTCTGCCAGATCTCTCGAAGATGGGAGCACCCTAGAATTCTGTCTCCAGGGCCCCTCCTCTATCTGTGGTCTCTCCTAGTCCTTTCAGGATCCCTATGTGCGAAAGACTCCCAAGTGGGCCTTTCCTACCCCCTCCCCTGAGGCTCTAACCCCCTCTACCAATTGCTGACTTACTCAACAAATCCACACACATCTCTATTAATAATTGGCACCTAAAGCACAGCGCATCACAAGAGAGCTCTTCATTTCCTCAAGCGAGTTCTCACGTCTTTCCCATCTCAGGAAATAGCAATGCTATTTCCCAAATTGCTTCAGCCAGAAATCCAGGAATCATCCTCAATTACTTTTTCTTTTACACCATCACATCTAATCAGCAAGTCATGCAGACTCCATCTCCAAAATGCATTGGGAATCCAACCATAGGTCACCGCCCTGCGCGTTCACTAGGCTCTCCCCAGGACAACCCCCAGAGTGGTCTGGCTTCCACTTCACTTTCCACAGTTGCCCCTCCACAGGAGCCAGAGGGACCGTGTTTAAGCAGATATCAGATGACATCACATCAAGCCTCCAGGGATTCCCACTGCAAGAATAAAATCCCAAGCCCTTCCGTGGTCCTGCCCATCTCCAGCTACGCGGTCTTCCTCACTCACTAGTCACGCTGGCCGCCTTCTCCTTCCAATAAGACCACTCCCTCTCAGGTGTTGCATTTGCTACATCCTCAGCCTGGATGCTGTTCCTCGGAGCCCCACATGCTGGCTCCTTTGCATCTTTTGGTGCCCAGCTCACATGTCACCTCCATGGTGATGTGGCCTGACCTGGCCACCATGGCCCAAGTGGCGCCTCTGCACACCTCACCCCCACTGTTCCCTATCTCATTGGCTCCTTTTATTTCTTCATAGCCTCTTGATCTAAAATTTTAATTTTCTCTCTTATTTACTGCCTGGGACCCATGAGTGGAATGTAATGTCCACAAAGCCAAGGACTTATCTACTTTCCTCCCTACAACATTTAGATCAGGGTCTTGCAGATTTTTTTTCAAATTTTTACTAAAATTTTTTTCCAAGTATTGAATGAGGGGAGACAGAAAAAGGCATTCAAGCTGAAAATGGAAGAGAGACTAAGATTTTGGACTGTGGTTCCAGGAAGTCAATCTCTGGGAGCAAAGACACAGATTATGCAGTTAGCTCATTAACCCCTCTTCAGTGTTAGACCACTCCACAAGCCACCAAGTTATTTACATCATCCTCTGCAACCAGTGCAAGAGAACTGTGACTCACTTCTCTTTGAATTCCCAGGGCCTGGGATGTCACTACAGTTGAAATGTTGTTGGTTGAAATGTTGCTGAACGAATCCAGGTGGTGCAAAGGGAACTTTGAGAATGGGATCAGTTTTCAAAGGAAACAAGAACTGAGCCTTGGGGACTTAGAGAATGGGAAGGAGAAAAGGAGTGAGGAAATAAAGTGGAGATGACACAGTAAGGTAGGGGAAGTGCTGGATAAGGGATACATTGAAACAGGGGCCACAGTTAAAACTATTAAATGTCAAGAAAAAAGTCAAGGAGAACAAGACCTACGAAAAAGTCCCAGAAGTTGACAAGAAGGCAACTGGGAAAAGCTGTTTCAATGCAGTTGTGGGGACGAAAGTTAGATTATGGCTTGCAAAGTGGAGTAGGGGAGGGGAGTGCTGCCAAGGAAGGTATCTGGAAAGAAGGGGTAAGATGACAAAGAGGTTTCTCCTGGTCCAGTATCTCCCATCAGTCTATTGAGGCTGCCTGGAGTGACAGCCTCAAGCAGAGCGAGGAAGAGTGACAGGATCAATTGGGCAGAGAGGAGGGGAAATCTGACAGACAAGAAAACAGCTATTTTTAAGTCCTACTTAATCAGTGTGCCACTGATGGAAGTACATAGTCATGTAAAGCACATTGAAGTTAGTAATATTTAAATAAAAGTTGAACATATGCAAACATCACTCCTACCATAAGTATTTTGCTTGGACTTTCATCATCATTCACATCACTGGTTCTTTTGGATCCTCGTAATTTTAATAAATCCTCATCCATATCCACCTCATCAGATGCCAATGATTGCCATCTTCCAGCAAAAGCGTGTGCCCTGTCATCGAATGAAGTGGCCTTGCTCCTGGTGACGTTGTTTGTTGCCATTTCAGCCATGATTCCAGGGAACGGTGATGCTGACAGTGGGCTGGGTCCTGCACCGATGCCATTTGTCGCCACTTCGCCCTTGACTGTGGGGAGTGGTGACGCCAATGGTGTGCTGGGTCCTCCACTGTCTCCAGCACTCTTCGACGGGGACGGGAAATCTGCTGGAGGTGCACAGCTAAGGGAGAGACTGTTTTGCAAGAAATGTTTCAGACGAGTTTTTCTGGGGAAATTGTTTTTCCTGATGGCATTCCGGAGCTGAGACTCTTCTGCAATCACATACACTCGGCAGCGGCCCCTGGTCACCGCAGTATAGACGTGCTGCCAGTGCTGGCGGCCCGCCTTCCCCACCACGTAGACGACTGATTGCTCCTCAGACCCCTGGGAGGCAATAACACGGTGTGAGGGCTTAATGCCACGGAATGGCTTCGGACAGTTTATAAAGGAGGAAAAGAGACAAGTGCTTTCAAGCACCTCCTACCTGGCCAGAGTAGTCTTCTAAGTCCATCTCATGGGTTCCATATTATTCATTATCCAAGAACTCACGTTTCCTAAATATGCTGCTAGGTTCAGTTCTCACAGGTTCACGACTGGCTGGCAGAAACCCAGCAACAAACTTTAAAGCCTGCATGCAGTGCTAAATCTTCCCTAATAAAAGACTGTGAAACAACTGCATGGGCTTTATGTGAAAATGCGCTATCCCGCTGTTACTTATAATGGCAAAAAATGGATGCCTTACATAGCCAATAATAGGAGAATAGATAAACACACACACACACACACACACACGCTTGATACATTAATACTATTTTGCAAACATCAAAAATGCTTTAAAATATAAGAAAACTTTAAAAATTGGATACATATATATAAAGAATGGTCACAACTATATAACAAAATAAAATTACTCTTATCCAACAAAAGCATGTCAAAAAAAGAACATGAATATGTAACACAAAACAAAAAAAAATCACAAGAAAAGAAAGAAAATGCTACCAAAATTCTTTAATGAGTCTGTCTCCAAATGGAGAGTCTTTCAAATTCCATATTTTATATACCCAGCACAGCTCAATCTGGATGTTAAATTTTCATCAGAAACACTTAACCTATATTTAGAGTTCATAAAATTTATACTTGAGAAAGGAGATTCATATATCCAAGTTGTTCCAAACATACTTAACATGTTTTCCAATGACTGAATCTTAGTATTTAAATTAAAATTCTGTTCCTCAATCACTCTAGCCACATTTCCAGTGCTCAATAGCCATGTGTGGCTAGTGGCTACCATATTGGATTATATAGGCTTTCAAAGGCCCTAGAAGGTGACCTGGGCCCCCATCCTCCTGCCCCCTTACCTTAGTATTATAGTACTTCTCCTACCTCATCTCCTGCCACCCTCCCACAGTGGACTCCTTCCTTCAAATATGTCAGACACACTCCCATCTTAGACCCCTGGCCTTGGCAATTCCTTCTCTCTAGAATGCTCCTCTCCCAGACATCCATACGGTTAACTTCTTTACCTCCTTTGAAGGAGGTCTTTGGTCAAATGCCATCTTCTCAATTAGGCTTACACTGACATTCTATTTAAAATCACAATTGCACCCACCCTCGCCCCTTTTCCATAGCATTTACCATCTTCTAACATCATAGCTGTTTTTTTTATGACTGTGTCTGTCTCTATTGCCTTCCCCACCAAATGTAATGTCCTTTTCACAGACTGACCTATACCAAGTACCAAGAACAGAATTTGACTCAATAGATATTTGCTGAACTAAATTGAACTTGGAAGAAACAAAATGTGCTGATGTAAGATAACAATCACAAAAGTCCTCAGAGCTAAGAGACGCTATTTCAACCACAAAATAAGAACTAGATTCAATGAAAGATATCTACTCCAAGCTCAACCCAATAATAATAAAGACTCTTTCACTTTTCATCTGTTCATACAGAAAAACTAGATTAAAAACTTGAGGAAATCTCTTAGAAAATAGAGCAAAATGATAATGAGATAAAAATTAGGACAGTTTGATAAGAAATTCAGGTAACCAGTTCTGGAAGTCTAATATCCACATGTAGTAGAAATTCTAGAAAGACAGAACAGAGAAAACCGAGGATAAGAAACCTTAAAGAAATTATTAAAGAAAATTTACCAAAACTGAAGTACCTGAGTTTCCAGAATTAGAGAACCCCATCAGAAAGATCCCTGGGAGAAATCTCTCCAGGATCTCACAGCCAGGAATATTGCACTTCTAACAGCTGGTGTGTTTTATTCAATAGGCACAATCAACTGACTGCTTCTCTTTTTACTTTGGGAACTTTGGCTTCAAGGGAACTAAAAGCCAAATCTGAATCTACCTATCAAGCAAACAGGAAAGCATGCACATGCACATTCAAACCACCCCTGGCATGAACTGTTTTACCATCTTTACCTTTATTTTCCTCTTGACATCATTTCTTTATCTTTTTAAAAAATCATACTGAATGATGGGAACTTTTTATAAGCCATTTCAAATTCTTTTCAGAAGTGGCATGAGGTAAGTTAATAAATAAAACCCTATCCACTTAAAAAAAAAAAAAAACAAACAAAACTCTATTCCAATTAATATTTGCTGACTAGTGAAAAGATGGGCTGACTTAAATTTTTCTACATAAAAATGAAGGTTGATACAGTCTCCCTGTTAAGGCAACTTAACAGCAGCAGAGAGGGAAGCTCAAAACAGTAAGACAAATAAGAGAGCCTCCAATAACTTATGAGAATTCAAAAATATTAAAATAGAAAGCTTAAAAGCAAGTTGCACTAAATGCAGTATGCTACCCTGGAACAGAAAAAGGACATCAGTGGAAAAACTGATGAAATTCAAATATGGTGTGTAGTTTAGTTGGCAGTATTATAGCAATAGTAATTTCTTAGTTTTGACAAATATATCACGGTTACATAAAATGCTAACTTTAAGGAAAGCTGAGTGAAGGGTATATGGGAACACTCTGTACTATCCTTCCAACTCTTGTGTAAATCTAATACTATTCCCAAATAAGTGTAAAATTAAAAGAAGAAAGTGGCTGCCTCACAAAGGTGGAGGGAGGGGAAACATTTGTCAAAACTCATCCAACTTTATAATTAAACTGTGTATGCAAATTACACCCCAGTAAAGTTGATTAGGCCAAAAAGAAAAGCAAGTTGCAGACATAGAAACATGACGATACCATATGTAAACCTTGGTAACACAGAAAACAATTACCTATTTTATTTCTGCATGAATAGGAATGAAACATACCAAACTCAGGGCAGAAGTCACTTAGGAGGAAGGGGAGAGGCAGGCTCAGGACTAGGATCAGGCACAAAATTTAAGGGGATGCCAAGAAACTCGGCAATCCAGATGAATAATATTTTAATGTAATATCTTTCAAAATCAAAATTAAGGGACAAAAAGATCCAGGATGAACAAAATATCAAAATTTTAGATAAAAACAAGATTAATACAGTGTCATGCCAAGCCATACTGGAGACTGAGACATGTAGGGGAAGACCTAAAGGATGAGACTTTAACCATATCTTAGTTCCTGAAGCAAAAAAGAGCTGAAGGCTAGTATCTGTATAGCATTTTCTATACTTCTATGCATTCTGTTTCATAACTAAAAAAATAAAAGCAACAAAAATTATAAAGAAAACAATGCAGGGTACTCTGTGGCTTGGTAAGTATTCAAATAGCTTTATAAAAGTCCACTCTTGGCCGGCGCTGTGGCTCACGCCTGTAATCCTAGCTCTTGGGAGGCCGAGGCGGGCGGATTGCTCAAGGTCAGGAGTTCAAAACCAGCCTGAGCAAGAGCGAGACCCCGTCTCTACTATAAACAGAAAGAAATTAATTGGCCAACTGATATATATATATATAAAAAAAAAATTAGCCGGGCATAGTGGCACATGCCTGTAGTCCCAGCTACTCGGGAGGCTGAGGCAGAAGGATCACTCGAGCCCAGGAGTTTGAGGTTGCTGTGAGCTAGGCTGACGCCACGGCACTCACTCTAGCCTGGGCAACAAAGCGAGACTCTGTCTCAAAAAAAAAAAAAAAACAAAAACAAAAAAAGTCCACTCTTACCTGAAAGGTGTGAATAGTCCTTGCCCATGCATGTTTTATGCGACAACATTTCATTAGTTTCTTAAAATCCACAGTTACTTCCAAACCAGCCATATTACTAATGGTCAAAAATCTTCTTGTTCCAAAAGTTACATCAGTCACATCCTGTCACCAAAATAAAGAATTATTTTGTATGTCTTCAAATATGCACATAGAAAAGATGTTCTATCTTTGGGTTGAACATAAAATATAAGCATGTTCTAAGTAAAATAGCATGTATATTCATTACAATTAAGAATTTCAAAAGGCTTAAAATCAAAACTTGAGCACAAACAATATATCCACATCCAAATATTTGAATAAACACAAATAGAAGTTTTCAGTCCTGGAAACTTAACTTCAGTTTGACTCTGTGAACAGAGTCTATGTTCTTCCTTATTTTGAAATCTATTTCATTTCTTATAGTGACTACATAAGTCTGTAAAGACTCTTTAAAAAGTTTGCTTTTCTTCACAGCTTTCAAATATTGTAAGTTTAGGAAGGCGTCTACACAATCAGAACAAATAACAAGGCAACCACTTCTATAGTATCTATATTTAAGCAGCAACCAAGGAAATGATGCCTTTTAAAATATGGGTCTCACTTGTGCCTTGTTTTTTGTTACTCAAATATTTCAATTTTCTTAAAAATATGTTCCTTTACAAAGTCTTCCAGAAAATAAGAAGGGGCACTTCCCAACTCATTTTATGAAGCTGGCATTGTTCTGATACCAAAACCAGACAAGATATCACTAGAAAACTATAAACCAATATCCCTCATAAATATAGATGCAAAAATCCTTAACAAAAAATTACAGAACAAGAATATCAACTCTCATATAATTAGATTCTGAATCCACCATAGCACAATTAAAAAACCCAACTATATATCTCTAATCGGTAAAAAGGTATTATTTTCTGTTTTCACTTACATTTGTAATGAAAAATATTTCTCCATTGCACAGTCGAATATTACTTTCAAAGTCATGCTTATTTTTAGAAAAATCACGAGGAGTACGACTGGCATCTAGATCACTGTCTTGCTGACTTGCAGAGGTATTTTCAGGCAGTAAATCCGAGAGGTACGCATTTTTGGTACAACAAATTTTATCACCAATTCCAAATATAAGTCTGTTCTGATGGTCTCTGGGTTGGAAAACACATAATCAAAGTTAGGAAAATTTCAATTTCATTTGTTTAAACATTAACTCCCATTCAGATGTGATCCAATTACCAAAATGATTTCTACACTCTCTGTACATCACTTTCATTCTCTAGTGGTCAGCAAGAAATCAGGCTCCCATAGCTGTCATCTGACTATTCACACACACTCTCTGCATCTCCTCAAACCCAATGACACATCACAGCCAAATACTTTCAAGTTAGAAATTTTGGCATAAATGCTAATGTCTCTCCTTCCCTCTATATTCTAAATTACCAAAAATCTCACTGATTCTTCCACTAAAATCCATCCTTCCTCTCCAATCTCTCCTATTACTACCCTATTTCGGGTCCTACAACATATTTCTGTTGTAATGATTATGACACTGTATCAGAATAACAGCAGCAAATGGATAAATGGTGGTGATACGCCAGTTACTGTGGTAAGTGCTTGATTATTTCATCTCATACTTACTACACCTCTGTAAGGGAAATTCTGTATAAGTGTCCTCTTTCACATACCTGGGAAGGGGAAGTTACCTGGAGAAGCTACCAGTTACCACTAGGATGCTGAGTGCACGGCCTCAGGCCCATGCTTCCTAGCTCTTTGTCAACCTCCCTCCAGATTTTTGGGTGTCTTCCCTCAGCAGACAGGAGCTCCTCCTGTACCCTGTACATCTCTACGATCTCAACACTTGACAAAGAGTAGGTATAGTTAAACTCAAGAGAAATGAGTTAATTTCTCCTGTGTATGAACACAGTGGCTTTTCTACACTCACAAGTCTCTGATGTACACTCACTAAGGTGCTCTCTGCAGGCATCCTATTGCTAAGATTCTTAGAAGCACTAAACATATATTATAATTTTAAAATTTGCCTGAACTCCCCACACTCATCTTGGACAAGCTGTGGGTTGCCAACCTGGAAATCATAAGGAAAATTTCATTCCTTAGTTTTCTTCTTAATACACTCACTACCAAAAAGTCAATTCCTATGGATATATATTATATTTAATTGAAGAGATTATTATATTTCACAAATGAGGGGAAAAATATTTTTAAATATGTGGCTGTGATAAATGTCAAAGCAAACAAAAGAACAGCAAATCAAGAAAGGACTGTCCTCAAAAGTTTCAGTTCTTGAAGACGCTCACTTGATTAGGTGGCCTGTGTAGTGCTTGCAGCAGCAGTCGTTGATGAGATCACAGTCTTGCCTGAAACACATGAAAGGGCAAGGGTCACCTTAATGGCATCTGTTATGTGCTTATTTATCTTATCAACAATTATGACATACCAGATTCTCTAAAAAGTTTCCAGAACGTTCTCTAGGAAAAAGGATTTTTATCATTTTTATCTTAACATAAACTTTTATTCCATGAAGATTTCCTATGACTTTTCTAAAGACAATATTTGATAGAAAAAGCCCTATTTAGAAAGTATCCTTTGCCACGTCTAAAAAAATACCCCAAAATAAGAGAATTAACAGTGATGAAATAGGAGAGTCTCCCATCCAAACAGAACCCAAACATTAGTAAATTATGAGAGTAAAAGCTAGATTAAAAACGTTAAAAAATCGTTAACTGCTTTACCTTCTAAATGCAATAAATTGTGATGTTTTTGCATCTTGCAAGTCATTTTCTTGCAGTAAAGTTTTAACCGCAGAATATAAATCTGATAATTCAAGAGAAAAAAGTTAACACAGAAAATCATTCAATTATAACACTTTCTATGGAGAAACTATTAATAATTCAGAATTTCTCCTAAGGGGAACCAAGAAAACAAATGACATGCAAGTTCACCACGGAAATGTCAATGTCATTCCCTACATCAGCCAGAGCAGTAGGAAAGGGAATGGAAGGAAGAGTTCCAGACATCCACTTTCAGCAGAGAGGACAACCCTGGCCAGGAGGGCTCCTAATTTGTAACACACTCACTGTGTGTTCACTGATGGTCAGTTTCTGAATGCTGAATTTAAGCAATGAGCAAGAGTATAAAATTGGGTAGCAGAATTACTAATTAATGTAAAACTTCCTGTTTCAAGGTCCTGTGGTAATAGCAGTAATGAGTGAGAATTTGAGAATTTATATGCTTTATGTTATCTCACTTAACTTAGTATCCACAACACCCACATGAGGAAGGTATTATAGCCAGAGCTCTTATTTAGCTGGGACGTACCAATATAAAATACCGCTGTATTAGCTGGAAAATAGCCACTCCCCTAACACCACAATACTCCACTCACTACCCCAACCACCTCTTTCTATCTCTCCAGACCTCCCCACAATTCAGCAACTAAAAGGTTGACCCTGGCACAGTGGGAGACATCCATTCCAACCCAAGGGTGCTCATGTCCCCCCAGCTATTAAGTAATGTGACCTCTAATGACATCTGTATTATGAATGTGAAAACTTAGGCTCATGGAAATATAAGTCATTCCCAAATGGGACAGGGTAGCCTGCCTCCCATTTTTAGAGCCTAGATGATTATAACTTGTCCCTTCATACTGGAATGCTGAGAAGCAGGCTTCCTCTAGTCTCTCCTGGTAATAGTATAAAAGGGCAAACATTTCTCAGGAGAGAAAGAAGATATAAAAATCAGGGTAAGAACATTCTAGAATTTTGTTTGCTTCCCTCGTAGCAGATGAATCATGGGGGAATGAAAAGGCCCAGGCCTTGTGATGCCCTACTCCAGAAAAACTAAATTAGCTGTTTACTGAGCCCTTCATTTTTCAGATAAAGGGGAATTATCACCAGAAAATGGCCAACCCCTGGTCTGCAAGAGCAGGGATTTTCAGAGTTCTCCCAGTATATTATTTCCTTTTATAGGTACAGGATCTTACTGTTCTATACCTTGCTTTTTTCGCCCTCTCTACATCTTATAGATCAATATATATACTGTATTTTATTGATCCTAAGAGATACATTTTTTCACATTTTAGTATCTCTGAAATTCTAGTGCAGATATGAATACTGTCTTAAGTCTTTGTACTTTGTGATAACGGGTATAATTTACTCAACAATTTGTGTGTGTGTGAGACAAAAAAAGGAGAAAAGGTGTACAGATAAAGTTGTATGTCACTTAATTTCACATATGCAGTGAAAGTAGATAAGTGGGAAACTTATATAAAGATAAATATTGTATTGTACACTCTTGGCAACTACAATAAATCCTCAGTAATAATCATTTAAATCTTACTAAATCAATTTTGAGTAAATCATTACATTATTTTTTTTTTAAAGTTTGCAAAGTCAGTTTATAATGCAAGTAAAGATCAAGGGAGGTTCCGTCTATTTAAAAAATTCATTTGCAACAGCTGATTTCATAATATCTATTAATCACAAAAAACTAACATTTCTATGGTGCCTCATAACTGATAAATGTCTTTAAGACTCACCACAGCTTTACAGACAGTGGTGCTATTAAATATGATTCCCATTTTACAGATAGTTAAGTGGACATGACATGGGTCATACACATGTTCTTTCTCACCCCTGTCACATTGTCATCCTAACACCCATAATTAGAAGCAATGTTTGTTCATTTTATAAAACAGAACTATTAGGAACTAAACCTGGCAGCAGTTTGACAGCTATAACTATTGTTCTACAGCAAAATAAAACTATTTGTTTTTATTAGTATTAAGTATTTGTACTTAAAATAAAAGTATTTGCTTTTCAAGCTGCTCTAAAAGAAAAACTTCATTAATTAAGCCTTGCTTTCTCCTGAATGAACTTGGATTACTGGAGTTTTGTTTTATTTTAAATGAAATCATCTACGTCGATTTATTCATTCAACAAATATTTACTGAGCACTTACTATGTGTCAAAAGCTTACTTCTTAACAAAAATCTAGTATATTCTGCTTTGGATGATTAATAAGTTAATTTATTGCCTCATTTTTTATTAGTGATATCTTTATCATCAAAGAGAAGTATAACTAGTCATTTAATAACTATATTAAAACTGAAATACTTATATTTAACCCTCATATCCTACAATTTCATACTTACAAGACTGATGATTATTTTTAGATGACTGAGAACTGGCATCTTCTTCTGGGAGTCTGACAAAAATAAATGTCTTATCTTGAATTGAAATGGGGAGTGTTAGATTTTCGGAGATATTTAGTTCTGCATCAAATTTTGGAAACCGGCGCCTTGAGATTCTTAAATAAAGATAAAATACATAGACAAAGAGCATTATAATCTAAAAATGTGTGTTCATATATGGCCTTATAATACTTAATACCTGTTAATAGATAATAATAAATAGGGAGAAAGGCCACCCAGATATACATTTTAAATAGTAAATGAGTTTTAATAGAAGACCATGTAGTTACTGTACTACATTTTAGCAATTGGTCTCCAACCCCTAACAAACTAAAAGCATCCAAAAAAATTATCAGAGGACTTACTGAGCACCATTCTTAGAACTTGACTGACTTATCTCCAGACCACAAAAGAACTATACATGAAAGGTAAGGCCCTTATTTCTCAGGTGAGCAATGTGAGGCTTAATCAGGCACAATGGGTTGCCCAAGGCCACAGAGATAGATGCAGGAGAACTGGAAAGCAAATCTAGGCCCATTTGCCTCCATATCCCTTTCTATTTGAATTAATTTGGACTCCTTGGGGCCTTTTCCATCCATTTACACCATACTCTTCTTTCTTCTGTGTATATTGTACATATGCTCCCATTTTCCCAACTGAACCGAGTGTCTATTCCCTCCTCATCTTTCCTTCATTCTTGTATTTTCCAAGACCACAAGTCACACTAGAAAACAGTACGGTACAGGTGGCTTGTCATAACAGAGCCTCTCCTTGGTTATTTGGAAGAAGAGAAGACTGATTCCCCAAGCAGATCTAACAGCAGCCGGGTGATCAGAGGTGGGGAAATCCTACTGTGTCATCTTCAACTTTTCTCAAACAAGACTTGAAAGGGAGGAAAGAAGAAGGAAAAGGCTGTCCTTAGTATAAATAGTACAGATTTAATTGGAGTCTTAAGAATCATCGGGTATTTCTCTGTTTCGCTTTGTAGCCAGGACATACACAGCATCCTTCTATCTCTAGGAGCTTTTCCCTGGTATATCACAGGGATCCTTCACAGTCAATAAATATTTGGGAAAGATGATTAAGAAGAAATGATGAAAGGAGCACAGCACAAACCAAATGATATTGAAAGAGCTACTTTAAAAAATTTCTGAGTTTCAGATAAAATTGAGTTCTAAGAAATCTAATGTACTATAGATTCTTCCAAGTTTTTTGGCCTTTATAATTAGGTGGCCTTTTAGAGAGAAGCAGAAGGATTTCAGGAAAAGAATATTACACATCCAACTCCATTATTTTTCTTAATATCTTAATATGAACTCACATTGTCTACCCTATTCCTGTTAATTTCACTTCTACTCCCACTATCCTGTCCAGGGTAGACAAGGGGATAGAGAAAGTAGGTTCTGAATGTTCTATTAATAATAGTTTCTGCTGACATTCAACCAAGGAGATATTCAAGCAACAAAAACAATACTTAAAAAAGAGTAAAAAACAAAGATAAATTTTGGTCCATTGGCTAAAACATCCTCTTAGTAGTCCAAGGTTCCATCACATCTATAGATTTTAATACAATCACATCACTTAATGCTAATGACAGGGATATATTCTGAGAATGTATCATTAGGATATTTCATTATGTGAACGTGATAGAGCATACTTACACAAATGTACACGGTATAGCCTACTACACACCTCAACTATATGGTATACAGCCTATTGCTCTTGTCTAGAAACCTGTACAGCATGCTACTATACTGAATACTGTAGGCAACTGTAACACAATGGTAATTATTTGTGTATGTAAACATATCTAAACATAGAAAAGGCATAGTAAAATTATGGTATTGTAATGTTATGGGCCTACCGTCATAGATATCATCTGTTGTTGACCAAAATGTCATTATGTGGCACATGACTGTATTAAAGTAAATGTCATGAAATAGTAATAATTGTGATTTTCTGATATATGGATTATGGAGAAACCAAATGCCTAAGCCCACAGAGGATCACTCCAAAGGCTTATGCAAAGATGAAGGAAAGAAAAAGATTCTTTTTAAGTGGAAGTAATATGCCATGGGTGCCTCCAGAATTCATCTAGGAGTGAAATACCACATTATATGTTTTTGCTTTGGTATTTCCTCCACAAAAATTAGGGGAAATTTCTTCCCCAATTCTCCTTTGAACTCAAATGAACTCATTTCCAAGTCTCTGTTCCCTTTGGGTTTATTCATCTCTAAGCTTAATGCAACTTTAATTCATATATACATTTTTAAAATAAGGAAAACATATTCATTCTTAAATTTTAGTAATAGGCTTATGTTGGACTAGTAATGAAAACATTAACTTTGTTTTTCTAACTATGGGGCAAATGGTATACAGCTAAAGGATAGAAGAAGTTTACTAAAAGGTATAGTATTAATAAATCTATTACACTAAATCATTCTAATTCAAAAGTCAATTTTTTAAACTTTTATTCTTAATACAAAAGAAAGAAAATGCAAAATCTTAGTTATATTATACCTTGTAGCATTGTCCACAATTAGCTGAGATTCTGCTCTATGGTTTGTCTTTAGCTCAACAGCACAATTTCTTGACTTAAGAGTCTCAAAAAGATCTTTCAGCAAGTTACCAGGCTCAATACTGGGTAACTGTCTAATATCACCTAAAAGGGAAAAAAAAAAATAGATACAGTACATTTCGGGTAACCAGGATTTTAAAATTTAGAAAGCATTTTTATTTCTCCCCACTGATATAATTATAAGATTACTTATATGATTACAAAGACTTCTCCTGAGGAAAAAAAAAACAACAAAAAATCTTTGTTTAAAATTATTTAAGAATGTCTTTAAGCCTGGCGCGGTAGCTCACGCCTCTAATCCTAGCACTCTAGGAGGCCGAGGCAGGAGGATCGCTCTCAAAGTCAGGAGATCAAGACCAGCCTGAGCAAAAACAAAACTGCGTCTCTACTAAAAATAGAAAGAAATTAGCTGGACCACTAAAAATACACAGAAAAAATTAGCCGGGCATGGTGGTGCCTGCCTGTAGTCCCAGTTACTTGGGAGGATGAGACAGAAGGATTGCTTGAGCCCAGGAGTTAGAGATTGCTATGAGCTAGGCTGATGCCACAGCACTCTAGCCTAGGCAACAGACTGAGACTTTGTCTCAAAAAAAAAAAAAAAAAAAGACGAATGTCTTTAAAAATATTTAACAAAAAACATTTAAATTAACAGTATAAGATATAAAAAATACGAATAACATAATAAAGTAACAAAATTTAAGTTGGACTTCTTTCATACCTATAACCACAAGAAAACTGTGCAGGGGCCAACTTGCAAAAAAATAAACAGGCCTTGGATATCTAGTATTTAGTCATTTTTTTCAATTCTGCTCAAAGTCTTACTGAACATGGGAGAATCTATGGTCTCAAATACATAAAATAAATGTATAAATATAAAATAAACTAAATGCATTCGATAACAAATTTTGGTAATCTAATGATAATGTTCTCTGCTCTATTAAAAATCTTTTTTTTTGGGCCGGGCTCGGTGGCTCACACCTGTAATCCTAGCACTCTAGGAGGCCCAGGCGAGCGGATTGCTTGAGGTCAGGAGTTCAAAACCAGCCTGAACAAGAGTGAAATCTTGTCTCTACTATAAATAGAACGAAATTAATTGGCCAACTAAAAATATATAGAAAAAATTAGCCGGACATGGTGGTGCATGCCTGTAGTCCTAGCTACTTAGGAGGCTGAGACAGAAGGACTGCTTGCGCCCAGGAGTTTGAGGTTGCTGTGAGCTAGGCTGACACCACGGCACTCTAACCCGGGGAACAAAGTGAGACTCTGTCTCAAAAAAAATTTTAAAAATCTTTTTTTTGGCTTGAAACAAACAAACCTAGAGATAAGAAAAATATGTACTGGGTGGAAATAAGGAGAATGCTTAAGCCATTAATAGAACTAACTGCATATAAAATATCCTCAAATATCTAAAAAACTATTTAAATACAATTTGATTCTCAAATTACAGTTTTTTACCATTAAATCATACAGTCTACAGATCACTACTACTATTACCCAACAGAACCTAACTGAATCTCATCAGGATTTAAAGGACTTAAAAGGCTGATGAGGTCTAATTTGAGTTATATTAGCTTAGCATTATAAAATAACTTTTAAGTGGTTTATAATTCAGCCTTTTTACTATTTCCTGATTTACTTTGAGTCTGTGACATTTTTACTATTTTAATAGCCATCATTTAGGTGATTAGCAGTAATCCTTCATATCCTAGCCTGCTAATTTCCTGGCCAAAACAAAGAACTACTCAAGCTGATTAGGAGAATGGTCAGTTTTAACTAGGTGTAGATTTGGTATGCATTCTGAGAAATGATTTTCCACCTTTAGGAAATGATACAGTAAAATGATACCAACTAACCACAATATTTTGACCTAAATTTTAGAATTTAAAACAATATTTTAACTTACCAAGGATAATAAGCTTTTTAAGTTTGGAGTGCTCACATAATAAATTTAAAACAGATCTGAAGATTCCTACGGATACCAAACTCCCTTCATCCACAACCAGAACTCTAACCGAAGCAAACTTCCATGGCCTGTCCTTGGTCATCTTATTTTTCCATACATAGAAGCTATAATTGACCTACAAGCAAAGTATGGCATTTCTAAAGTCAGGTTATAACATTTACAAAAATAAATTAACAGCAAGTTATTTTAAAACAAAATTCTTAATTTGGGGGGAAGGAGAGAAACATAAGGAAAAGGCTAAAGAAACAGAACACAAAAGTTATAGAGATGAATATTCAAAAAAAGACACATTAAATAGATCTAAAAACAAAAAATTATCAAATAGTTTTTAAAAATGCCTCCTAATGAGTAGTGTGTTTAATTTAATAAATTTCACACATTCCACTATTCCACTGCAAAAATCTCAACACTTCTCTCATCACTCGGGACCAGAGAAAGCTCCCTATTCTTTTCCATTCCCAAATAAACATTCTCTTGGCCTTCTGAGATACCCAACTTAAGCCCTCCTCTTCTCCTAACTATATTATTCCATTCTGGAAATAAAGTGCTTTTTTTTTCAACATTATTATAAAAATACTACTTTTCCTTTCAAGTATTCTAAGCTTCCTCACCACCTACTCAACAACAATTAAACAGCAAAACTACTTGTTACAAAGGTGATATTATTATTTTTAAAATACAGCTAAGAAAAAAAATTGGTTATGAAATTGCAACCAGAGAATATTCAACATTTTAGTGTATATCCTTCGAGAAACAGTTCTCTGTTATAAATGTGGATATTAAAGGTTGAGTATTCCTAATCTGAAAATTTGAAATCTAGGATGCTCCAAAATCCTTAACCTTTTGAGTGCCAACATAATGCTCAAAGGAAAAGCTCATTGGAGCATTTCAGATTTCAGATTTTCAACCTGTATGTATATACAGATTTTTTAAATGGTATCATATCATTATTTAATTTTTCTACCAAAACTAGATTCAACATGTCTATTAAGTAAAGCCTTCATATTTCCCACCCAAAAGTATCAATTCCTTTCAACAAAATCCTCATTCCCTCAGGGCCATGTCTTGTAATAGTATATTTGGAATTACCTCTGATTGTTGCCTTATTTAATACATTCAATAGTTATCTTAGAAATGCCTAATTGACACTTTCCACTATATTTCCAGTGTTACCAGCTTCATACAGGCCCCATCTATGAGCAGTTTGAGGACTCCAATAGTTTTGTAGCCAGGTTCCCCTATACACTAGCTCAAGATGGGACTGACAAATAAAATATGGGACACCCAGGAAATTTAAACTTCAAACACACAATAAAAGGCTTTTTAGTATAAGCATGTCCATGAAATATTTGGTATTAATACATACTTATACTTAAAAATTACTTGTATTTTTATCTGCTACATCTGGCAACCCTAGTCCAAAGATGATAAATAAGTTTGTGTTTAAGGCAAATGTTTTATCTACTAATGAAATGTCAAAGATTTTACCTGACATAGCGTATATGCATGGAAACCAGTTTTCTGTCTCAGTAAGCCAGTTGCTTTCCCTGTAGGTGCCGTGAGCAAAATTTCTATAGCCTTGACAGCGTCCAGCTGACTTTGCTCAGTAAACATAATCCATTCTTCTGGGACATCCTGGTCTTGCTCAAAATCTTCACAAGCTTTTTTTACTTCTCTTTCTTCCAACTGCTCTAAATGCTTAAAAAGATGGCTAACAATTGTGGTCTTCCCACAACCACCTTTCCCACTTATGACTGTCACAGCATTAGAGCAAATCATTTCCAAAGCAGCCACCTGATCCTGATCCAGTTGGACTTCACTTATTTCTTCATTAATTTCATTGTCACCATTAGTCCAGATATGGTCACCACTGTCCTGTGAGTCTACAACAGCCACAGGATTTTCATCAGGTGTGCTTTCACTCAATGCGTCATCAGGTGTGCTTTCACTCAATGCATCCTCAGGTTTGCTTTCACTCAATGCGTCATCACTTCTTGAATTCTCAGGTTTTGTGGTGTGAATAGATGCAAGCACCTTTTTGACATCAACATGTAAGTGCCAAGGAGGACTCTTCATCAGGTCACATATTGAAAAGGCAATGCTTCTTTCAGCCTGGTAAAGGTCATAAGGGAAGACACAGGCCTTCTCGCATGCTACCACACCAATATCCTTCAAAAACTTTAGCGACTCCCAGGCATCCTGAAATGACATGTGCTCTGACAATATCGAAGTTAAGTCAGCTTCTTCAAGATATGTGTGCCCATGCTCTCTACACATCTGCTTCAGTTTAGAATACATTATTAATGCATTCTTCTCCAAATTAGTCATCAGCTGGAGAAGAGACGTGCACTGACAAAATGCCATCCAACTTGCCTCACATCGCAAAAGTTTCAATTCTCTGTAGGTTATCTTTAAGAAACAAAGTTCAAGTTGCTTTATAAAAATTATAAATGTTGATAAATGCATTAGAATTACAGTAAAAACTGCATTATATATTGATAATCTTACTAAGTCCCAGAAGACATGACTTTTAACTAAATTTGGAGGAAAAAACTATAAAACTAACATCACTAACTTTTCCAACACATTGACTGCCACACTAGAAAACAAAATTTTTTCCCTGGTGTTTTATTATAAAATAAAAACAAACAAACAAACAAAAAAAGGTTTTTCCCACAGTGTTGTATTATGAAAATAGAATAAAAACCTTGGAAATAAAACGATCCTTTCTAATTTAATGAAAAATTTGTTATTTTTGTATTGTTTTCTGTGCATGAATTATATCCAACTAATATGGCACTAGAATCAATTTTTATACCTTACATCAATTGAGTTGTATGTGACTTACAACATACTTACTGAATTCGTTTCAGAGAATTGAGTCTTCATATGTTTTACAAGGCCCCTGGGCCCAAAAGTAGCATAAGCTAAACACAATTCACATGGCAGTTAATGTGTTAAATTGTACTGTGATTAGAGATCTACATAATTTTTAAATTAAAATGATATTTTATCAAAATAATACACATACAGTTTTAAAAGTCAAATAATACATAAGGCTTACCACAAAAAATAGGAATCTCTGCCTTACACTTCCCCATGCCTTCTAGGCAAAACCTCCAACACTTTTTAGTTATTTCTTCCAGCATTTATCTCTACACTTATAAGTACTATTTATATTATTCCTTGATTTTCAAAAAAAATTTTTAGATATTTATTAGATATTTATTTTGAGATTTTTAGATATTTAGTAAAGATATTTATTATTATTTAGATATTTATTAACTTATGCAAAGTCTTTCTCTATGGAACATCACTCTATCTTATACCATCACCTCCACAGGTGCTACATCTCCTCCCCCATCTTTGAAAAAAATTGTAGTATATATTTTGTTAATCAATTTTGGTTAAGCAGAGTGTCTATGATGCTTATATAAATAGGATTCATAGCTGAGTGACATGATGTACTACGATCACATTAATTTTTGTGCTGAAATCAGTGTGTATCATGAAGTTAACATCTGCTTCATTCTCTTGGTTCATTGAGTTTTCTATGTGTCTAACAATAATTCTGCCCAAACTCTACGTAAGAGGTATAGAATTCCCTTCACCATAATCCACTGAGCAGGTCATTTACCAGCTCCATTTTTTTTCACGGAGATATCACTCCTGAAGCCTCCATACCTTTTATGGACGGAATTGTGTTTCCCCCAAATTCATATGTTAAAGTCCTAAGCCCCAGTACCTCAGAATGTGACTATATTTAGAGGCAGGATCTTTAAAGAGGTATTAATAAAGGTTAAATGAGATCAATGACCTCATTAATAAAGTTCTAAGGGTGGGCCCTAATCCAATATGACTGGTGTCCTTTTAAGAAGTGATAAACAGATTGGCACAGAAGGAAGACCATGTGAAGATACAGATGACCCCCTATGAGCCAAGAAGAGAAGCCTCAGAAAAAATCAAAATCACACCAACACTGATCTCAGACTTGTAGCCTCTTACAACTGTAAGACAATAAATTTCTGTTGTTTAAGCCATCCAGTTAGTGGTATTTGTTATGGCAGCCCCAGCAAACTCATAGAATACCTGCATGGTGGTTTACATGCTAAATGGTGGGACTGCAAGCCTTCTTTTCCCATTTGAGTCCTAGAATGCTACAACCAGGCTTAAATTGCCCACGTATGATCCTTCTCTGAGAGAGTGACTGGACAGAAGACTTCCAGATACTGACATGAGGGAAGGGAAAGGACTGTTCCCTAATGAAAAACCTAAGTCACCATCAGGTAATCCCTGCCTCATCCTCATCTGGTGTCCCCAAGTTTGGAATCTCTCAATTGAATATCTTCCAGGTGAACCTCTCTTCCTCTATTCCTCTTGCTAGGATGGGAAAGGCTAATCAGTTAATGCCTATGCTGAGAAGAGAATCTAGGGCTCCAACAGCTTTTTTTTTTTTTTTTGTCTGAGAGAGAGTCTCACTCTGTCACCCAGGATGGAGGGATGGAGTGCAGTGGCTTCATCATAGCTCACTGCAACCTTGAACTCCTGGGCTCAAGCAATCCTTCTGCCCCAGCCTCCTGAACAGCTGGAACTACAACTACATGCCACAATACTCAGCTAATTTTTCCATTTTTTTGTAGAGAAAGGTCTCACTATGTTGTTCAGGCTGGTCTGGAACTCCTGGCCTCAAGGAATCCTCCTCCCTTGTCCTTCCAAAGTGCTAGGATTATACTGTGCTCAGCTGATAATGCTTTACAGGAAGGGATAGTGGGAGGGAGGGCAGAAGGCTGACCCTAGGATCTTTACAGATAAAGCCTCAAACTTATTGACCATAAAGAAAAACACAAGGACTACACCTCAGCAGGAAGACAGTGTGCTCAGCGATGACAAGGGTGAGGGCTTGATCACATCTCCACTCTACACTGGTAAAGTCCCAATAAATGTTACTGAGCTGTATAAACCTGACACAGTGTATATTTGTAATAATAACATTTTATATAATTTATTCTTAGTAACAGCCATAATTTTTTAGATCCCTAAAGTTTTCTTAATATATCTATAGAAAGAATGACAGATTTTACAGGGTTCTTTTTTAAAAAAAAGGCAAACTATTACTATTATCTGCCTCTTACCTCTCATTGCTTTGCCTCTCCTCTCCACCAAATAAATATATATAATAATTTGATGCTCCTGAATCTTATCTTTCAAAACATACTGAATCTACAGACATTTTACATAAGGAACAAATTCATCATTCCAGTATTTCTCAAACTGAGAGTCCATAAACATTCTTGAGTGTCCAAGAATTACCTCTGAATTTCTTAATTATATTTTCATATAGTTATGAAATTATGGAAAACCCCTTTACAACCAAGTGCTACCAAGATTTAAATGCCACATTTGGTTTCTAATACCACTGGAGCTTCAAAATGCCACTTTAAAACTTTGTCTCTAATAAGAAGAACATTAAGAGGATTCATCTGTAAATGATGTTATTGTCCCTAATAAAAATCAAATGATATCATGATATACCATTATGAATAATGAAAGTTTTCAATAGCTCAAATTGGAAAGTGGGAAAGTGAGTTGCACAGCAAAACGGACTCGCCAAATTCATAAAAACTTTTGTCTTCAATGAGATCTATATTTAAGTTGCAAATGACAATGTAGTTATAGGAAAACATGTCATGTTAAATTAAATTATACATTTAAACTAATACTGATAACTTGAATGTCATCAATTTTGTTATTTTGTTTTTCATTTATAAATGTATTGACTTAACAGTTATATAAGAGCTATAGGCATAAGAAGTTTATGTTTAGCTGTAACACTCAAAGAAAAACAAATCAATACTGGGTGCATACACATTTTTTTCCACTGAAAGAGATGCAAAAATTGTTAAACTTTAGAAATCCCACCTTCCACAAGGTTACTAAATGCCAAGCGTCCTACTTACTTTACTAAATCCAAGTTTCCATGGATGCGTACCTAAAATTTCTTCTATCTTTGCCAATACCTCTTTAGAACCTGAGTCGATGAGCCGTTTAAAGTGTCGAGGCAGCAGAATTGGAAGGAATTCCATTATTTTTGGAAACTTTAAAGCTGTCATTACATTTATATATGGAACTACAAGATACCAGAAAGGAACAAAAAGAACAAAGTAAAACAAATGAGCCCAAAGAATGACTGATTTGAAGGATTTTCTCAATTAGCACAACCAGTTCAAGAAATCCAAGTCAAAAAGAGATCAATAAATTTGCTTTAACCAGTAAGAAAACTGATTATAATATGACAACTGCTTTTGTACTGAGATGGTTTTCATTATGTTTTCCACCAAAATTTATGTTCTTTAAATGCTTAGAGAACTACTTCTTAGCATTTTGTTTCCTGTTGCTTGCAATAGAATCAGAATAAAAATTTTGACTCAATTAAATGATAAATTTAAAGCTAAGGATAAAAAATAAATCATATACACATATTGACCTTTGTTTTCATTTTTCCCAACTGTAATTATGATTCTTTTGTCATTGAAATCATTAACTGATGCACTACCAAACTTATTTGATACATCTAAGAAATGAAATATTGTATAGATATTTCATTTTAGATGTATCAAATAAAATGTATGTATATATATATAAAATATACATACATCATATATATCTATATACATATGGATGTCCAGAAAACCAGCTATATTAAAAAATTACTAGAAACCATTTTGGACTGAAATCTTTCCAAAATGGATTACTGGTATCCTTGTCTTTCTCCTCTGCCTTCTTAAATAATTAACAACTGAATTTTTGATTACTGACTCAAAGTAATCCTCATGAACACTAAAGTTAAAGAGAGAAGAGAGTCACAATTTTAGAGCTGGAAAGGAACTGGCAGGATTTTAAAGGTCATCTCGCACAATCCTCTTATGTTACAGATGAGAAACCTGAAATGCCAATGGCAAATCCCAAAAGCATTATAAACACAGCTTTCAACAAACTAATTTTAAATACTATGCCAAAATATGATAGTGGCAATATTTTAAACACTCTAGTCATGAAGTATCTCAATTATAGCAAAACTCAACGACAAACATGACACTTACTTGGGTTTGTCATAGGGAGACTCGTCTCACAATCTGGTGGCAATTCTTCCTGTTCTTTCTTTGCAGATTGTTTTTGATCTTTCCTTCTCTTTTCCTTGTAAAAAGTTATTAATGTTTCCCTAAGATTTTCAAAGCTTAGGTCATTATAGCTTGACACCTCCTTTACCCATGCTAAGAATTCCATGCGGTCATCATCGGGGAACTCACACTCTTTAAGAAAGAGGGAACAGGTTTGTTCTTGATCTGGTGGTGACATATCAGACTGTAAAAAATAAGATGGAAATCCTTGAACTTGATAGCCCCTCAATCCCACAGGCTTTACTTGTACTTTCACTCGCCACCAAGGACCCATTATTGGAAAACGTCCATACACAATACATGGTTCTTGAGTGTTTTCATCAGGAATTAAAACTAAAAAAAAAAAAAAAAAAAGTTAACTTAGTTTTAAAAACCTCTTCCCCAATGTTTCATCAAACTCACCACTGTCTTTAATTCTCTCCATAGTACCCTATACAGACATTTATTAGGGTGCCTATAACACTTTATCCTGCCTGTTTTTCTGTCTCCCTCTACTACACTGTAAGCTCTCTCTAGCAGGACAGTGCTTTATTTATCTTTGTATTTCAAAAGTAAGCACAGTACATGTTAAATGTCTGTTGTTCCTCTTCTAAAACTAGTCCCCTCTCTGCTATTCTGACCTCAGTCAATACTGCCCTTCATGCAGTTTCTAAAAAAAAAAAAGCCATGGTCCTTTGCTTAAGTTGTTCCATTTCCCTTAAATGTTCTCCTCCTTACTGTTTAAAACATTTTCTAGCAGCCTCAGCTTAATTTTCACTTCCTCAAGAAAGTCTTTCTTGAATCTTATGAATATAATGTCTCAACACACTATTTACTATTCCTTCTAAGCACTAAGTAATATTATAGTTACTTCCGTGAGTATTTAAAGAATATCTGTTTAATTCACTAGAGGGTAAGCTCCATTAAGACAGAAAACCTTGTCATTTTATCTCTCTGGGTTATCCCAGTGCCAAACATCTTGCTTGAAATATTCCACCCAGTTGATAATACTTTAGAATTAATGACTAAACCCTTCACAAATACTTGAAAATTTTCTGTCTAAACCTACACTGTCCACTTTTAGGGACAGAAAAACAACTGAGAGGTAATGGAAATCAGAAAAACAAAAAGGAGAAAGCAGTTATAGAAAAACAATAAGGAGGAAATGGTTGCAAAAAAATATAAAGAGCGAATGGTTTTTTAGTTAAAGAATGGGGTAATTAGAACACAGAACACGGACCACCAATAAGAGAACAGCTGTGGAATTTTCCCCATCATCGTATACATAATAGAAAAAATGATTGGAACATAATCTTTAAGTCATATCCATACCTGGAAAGAATTCAGTCCCCAAAACAGTGACATATAGTTATGAATAATTATAACTTTTACCAAAATTACTAGCGTATAAAAGGAAAAACATGAAGTAGACAGTGTCTTCTCCAATTGTGGAGACAGACCCATTTCTCCTTAGGAAATGTACTTTCCTTTCCTTTTGCAACCTTAAACTTTCCTTACAGTAAATTCTTCATGCATATTTGCTGAGTGTCTGCCATCTCTCCGTGGAATGGGCCAAGGCTTGTGATTCTTCCAAGCCTGGAGCCCAAGAACTGGGGCAACACCTCAAAGTCCAGCTGTGGACTAAAAAGGACCGTGACACGCCTACACGTGGCTATTTAAATTAAATTTAAATAAAACTTAAAATTCGGCTTTTCAGTTACACTGGCTGCATTTCAAGTTCTAAATAGTCACCTGTGGCCAGCAGCTATTATATGGGACAGTGCAGATATAAAACACTGCCATCATTCCAGAAAGTTCTGCCGAACAACACTGGTCTGCACATTACAATATTCTTAATTATCAATCACAAAGTCCACATAACAGGTATAATTCTCAGCACAGGAAACTTATACAAAGTTAACATCAACCACAAGGTTATTAACACGGGTTAATGAATCAACAATGCATCTAGGTGTTCCCTGTGGGCTTTTTTTCCCCCTCTAAAGAAACTGAAGAATAATGATGTATTTTACTCCAGGCAGTATAGGGTCATAGTGAAAAGTGCTGATTCTGGGTAGGAATACAGGCTCGACGGCCACTGTTTCCTAGGCTGTAAAACGATCTCAAAGAACTGCGAACATGAAGATTGAGATGATACAGGTAAAGGGCGAGCTTAGGAAGTCGCTGCTACTGTTACTATTTTATCCTAAGTAGGATGAAGCAGCTAGGCCGTCTCGGGAAGGGTGCCTTGCAGAGGACGAAGTCAGAACGGGAAACGCTCGGCCCGGCCCCCCAGGCCCCGAGGGGCAGGGAGCGTCCTCACCGCGGAGGCGCCCGGGGAGGCCGCCGGCCTTCACCGCCCCACTGCAGAGCTCCTCGGCGTCCACGAACGCCGCGTCCTCGTCCTCCTCCACATCCTCCCTTAGGTAGTCCTCGTCCTCCTCCACCAGGTCCTTGGGTGGGAGCGGAGGTCCCTGCAGTTCGCGCAGGTGCTGACTCGACCCGGCCATACTTCCGCGGAGCTCAGCCCAAGCAACTCCGAAAAGCCCGCGCCGATCGCCAAGCCATGATAGGGCAATCAACGCGGCCGCCGGCGACGTCGGCTTCCGGGACGCGCGGGCGCCAGTCAGCGTGCGCGACTCCGGGTGGGGGCGGTGAGGAGGCGCGGGGGCGGGGCGAGCAGGCGCGGGGGCGGGGCGAGCAGGCGCGGGGGCGGGGCGAGGATGCGGAGCGGCGGGGCGAGGATGGAGGCGGCGGGGCGAGGATGTGAGGCGGGGCCGAGATGGAGGCGGCGGTGCGAGGATGGTGGCGGCGGGGCGAGGATGGAGGGGGGGGGCGAGGATGGAGGGTGGGGTGAGGATGGGAGGGGCGGGCGAGGTGGAGGGGGCGCGCAGGACTAGATGAGGGCGGGGCGAGGATGGAGCGGGGCGGAGCGAGGATGCTGGGCCGCGGGGCCGAGGGCGGAGCGAGGATGCTGGGCCGCGGGGCCGAGGGCGGGGCGCCAGCTCCTCCCTGCAAGTTGCACCGGGCGGTCAAGATCCGCGAGGTGCCGGCCCCCGCAGGGCTGGGGAGCCACAGGTGTGGCACCTGCAGAGTCGCCAGTCCACCGCATCTCCTGCGGAGACAGGAACGCGGAGAAAGGCTACGTTTGAGAAGCCTAGAGAACCCAGAAAAGCAAGCCCTCCCCAAAACGAAATTATATTAACAGTAGATGCCCTTCAGGACCGTCTGTCTACACGCAAAACACGGAATAATGAATGTCCCATCGGAAGACTCCGGCGGTGACGGCTTTGGGCCTCTGTTTCCTTAACTGTAAAAGAGCTGCAGAGGAACTGGGTTTATATCATCTAAAGGCACTTATTCAAGGTGCAGATTTCTAGCCCCCGTTTCAGACTCACTGAATTGGGATCTAGGGCGGGGACCCAGGATCCTGTTTTGTTAAATGTACTCCCCAGGTTGACGATGTTGATGCTCAGCGTGGTTTGGAAACCGCTGGATTAGATGACATTCAAAGTCATCTGACAGTGGGGCAAAAAGTATCTCTTTGCATCACAGAGTATAGACGAGGGTGGGCGAAGGGACAACAAAGTGGTTTAAAGAGAGTAGAATGACAGTTACCAGAGTCTGGGAAAGGTAGCAGGGATGGGGGGATAAAGTGAGGATGGTTAATGGGCGCAAAAATATAGTTAGATAGAGTGAACAATATTTGATAGCACAACAGAGTGACTACAATCAACAATAGGTTAGGGTATCATTTAAAAATAACTGAAAGAGTGGAATTGGAATGTTCCTAACACAAAGCAATGATAAATGCCAGAGGTGATGGATACTCTAATTACCCTGATTTGATTAATTCACATTTTATGCCTGTATTAAAACATCACATGTACCCTATAAAGATATACGACTATACCCCGGCCACAGACTGACTAGGCACCGCGGGGTTGCGGGTTGCGGGTTGCGGGCTGCAGAGGTGAGTCCCGCCGGTGGGCCTCCTGGGAGCCCCCGCGGGCATGGATGCGCCAGGGCTCCCGGCTGAACGCGGTGGTCAGCCCGCTGTTGCCTCCAGGGCTTTGGAGGCTATGGCTGGGCTCGGATGCTGCTTGGGGAGGGGGCTCAGATGAAGGCGGGAAGCCGGCAGGGACTGGGGTCATTCAGGGCACTCAGGGCCAGCCCTGGAGTGGGGCGGACACAGGAGCCGGCCTCAGCCCCTGCCTGCCCTTGAGTGCCGGTGTCTTCCGAGCCAAGCATCTGGTCCCTGGGGCGGCCACTTGGAGTGGAGCTGCGGGAGTCGGGTCTGCGCCAGCCATCCGGCGTTTGCTCTTCTGAGTTCCTCTCCGGTCTGACGCTAGCACCAACTCAGGAAGTTACAGAGGGTGGCCCCTGACAACCTGCCTCTCCCTGCTGGCTGCAAAAGGGGCCTTCTGGTCCTGACCAGTGAACCCTTGTGTGGTCAGGAGGCCCTGGCTGGACTAGCTCTCCAGCCCTAGAATTTGTTACCAAACTGCAGGTAACAGGACTGGAAAGCAACCGGAAAGCCTAGAACCTGTGAGGCAGGCCTAGGTGTTCAAGGTCCTGCAACCCAAAGGCCAGTGGAGAAAACTGGGACTCAGCTGGGTGCTGAGTCGGGCGTGTGCTCCTCCTTTGGGGACCCCTGAGCTCCCTCTGCCCAGGTCTGAGGGTTGCAGAAGTGTGAGTCACAACTGGGTGTGGAGAATGCCCCATAATTGCTTCCTTGTTCTCAGAGTCGGACTGCGGGAGGGGGTGGAGGTAATTCTACCCTTCCAGTTCTGAGTGACTTTCTCAAATGTGGAAAGGGGTAAGAGAGATAGTGTTTCCCTGGCCCCAAATAGACATACGGAGCTCCTGCTCTGCGGCCTGGCTGGGGAAGCAAGTCTTGCAGGAAGCCAGCTCAGCCTGGCCTTGGGGTTGAGCACGTCTTACTTCATCTGAGGTCCTTGTGCTTCTGGGAGGAGCACCCCTCTTTTTTCCCCTTCCATCTCTGCATCTGAGACTCTCTGGAGCTGCTTGATTGGCAGACAGGCCACCGACCTCGAGTCCTCAAGGGAGCCAGGTTCAAACCCTGCAGGACCCAGGCTCAGTGACTTCACAGGGACTTACTGTCTGGGCTTCCTCAGACCCTGTTCTCTGAGAGCAGGAAGTGGCTGGCCCCTCTAATCCTTCATCAGTTTTACAGATGAGGAAAAGGAGGCTGAGGGACAGCAGTTGCTGGTAGGGGAGGGGCAGAGGGAGGCTGAGCATCCAGGTCTCTGACTAATGAAGCCACCTTTCCACCTCCTCATTCTACAATCTCGTACATAAATCCTTGAAAACTGTAGATGTTGTTCAGGGGCCTGAGCTCGTTGGTGAAGACCATGAAGGAGGGCATCAGCCCCTGGTCCAGCCCTCTGTCCCTTGGTATGACACCCCTGCTTACTGCCCCAGGCACAGACTCATGCTGAGAAGGCAAATGATATAATTAAATGGAAACAAGTTGGGTTCTTTGAAAACACAGCTACAGGAACCCAGGAAGGCTGGTAGCTTGTCACTTCCGCATCTGTCCAGGGCTGCCACTCTGCCCTAGTCTGTGAGGCTGAAAAGACATGAGACATGAGTAGATGGCTTTCTTCAACAGACATTAAGAGTCTGAGCCCAGGCCCGGAGCAGTATACTCCCTGCCCCTGGCATGCACAGGAGGCCTCTGCTCTCCTGTTCTCCTGCTCGGACTGCTGCCCTCCTCAAAGCTCTGTCCCTCTGGTCCTGCCCTGTGCCCTGCTGTCTGGCACCTGGCACAGCGGGAGCATCCAGAAGCCCAGTATGATTGTGTTGCTCTTCCACATCTCTCCTGACCCCTCAGCGAGGACACAGGCTTCCCTGCCATCTGGCTGTCCCCTCTTGGTACAGTGGGCAGCACCACCTGGGATCCACATACCCTGCTCTACTGAGACTGCCCAGAAGGTCTGCCCTGCTCTGACGTTTCCCCTCCAGCCCATCCCTGGCTCCCTTCCAGAGCGTCTGCCTGCAGGGCAAGGGCTATTTCTGTTTCGTGGCAGGCCCAGCACTGTCCAGCCTCACGCCCAGCAGTTGGGCAGGGAGCATCCACAGTCAGCTGCTGGGCGCAGGCAGCTCTGGCTCACTTGAATTCTGAGGTCTGAGGGGAAGGGAAGTGCCACAGTGTCTTTGGGAATTTGGGCGGGCACACCTGCCCTCAGCTTGTTTCTGAGTCTGAGAGAGGGATGGACTTGCCGACTTGTGACCCTCGCGTGAGCATCTCACTGCTCAGCTACACCCTGTCCCTCTGGGTCTCACACGGTTGAATGCAGACGCCATGCTGAGTGGCCCTCTGAGGTGTCTGGGGTGTCTGCGTGTGGGCTCTGTGGATGACTCTGTTGGTGCCACTGTGACTGGGCCTGCAAGAAACAGAGGGAGCAGGACTTCAGGTGGGCAGAGGGGCCTCCTGCTCATGCAGAGACCCCAGGAAAGACAGCGTGGTGCCCCCAACATGAGCCACAAGGCCCTGAGCATCAGGCTGTCCCTTTGCGTGCTCTCCAAGTGGCCTGTACAAGTTGCTGCACAGGAAGCAAGCAGTGTGGCTGCCCCCCCCCCATGAGGACTCATCTAGGGCACCAGGGCAGACTCACTCCCATCCTGTGGAGTGATGCGCATCGACCTCACCCCTCCTGTCCTGACTAACAGGATCGTGGCTCTGCTGTCCACACCCCGATTTCTCAGCTTCCCTGAGGTCAGAAGGAAGCTGCGAGGGTCCCTGCCACCCTGGTAGCCAGGCTGGAGGAGCTGCCTGGACAGGCTTCAGGACATCAGGAAGAAGACAGGTCGATAGCTGCTGTTTGAAAATGTCGCTGCAGCTGTGCCCAGTTTCAGACAGTCCTTACAGCTTCCTGCTCCTCCTCAGTGGAGGAAACCAGAGGAAGAAACTTAGTGGCAGAGGGAACTCCTCCCCTCACCCTTCCCCCTCTGCTTTTCCTGAAAAAGTCATCATTTGGATTAAAGTCACTCGGAAGGCTAAACCTCTTATACCTTCTCCCCCTTACCTCACCCCCCTCCTCCCACGACCTTCGATGGGAAACACAGTGAGTTCTGGAGCTTTCTGGAGCCCCTGCCCTTCCTGAAAAGGTGGCTATGGAGAGGCCAGGCTTGGGGGAGGCGCAGGGGAGGAAGTACCCAGAGGCCTCCTCTGGGTCCAGGGCCACACAACTCCCTGTCTGCCTCTCTTCCTTCCCTCGAGCAGGAGACATGAGTGCCCCCGCCCTGTGACCCCATCCTTGCCACCGCCAAGGCCACTAGGCTGCCCAGGCCAGGGCTGCACCTGCTGCCACTTGGCAGATGGAAATACAGAAGTACAAAAAAAAAAAAAGATACACAACTATTGTGTACTCATAATATATTTTTAATTAAGAACGAAATAAATAAAAGAAATAATTATTTATTACTTGATGAGGATAGTATTTAAAAGTCATGGTGTTCTTTAAGGAACATCATAAAATATATTACTACATTACTATATTGATACTGTTTATTATGTGATTACTGTATAAGTAATAAACCACAGGCATGGTGGTGCATGTCTGTAGTTCT